ATTACCATCACGAGTACGTGAGCCACCAACGGCGACTGGTAGATGGTACCGCCGTCGCCAGTACGCGAGTCCCTCCCAGAAATTCGTTGCGCCGCCCTTGGGGACAAAAAACGGTGAAAGCTAACGTACGAAACCAGAGGGCAGCACAGGATGCAATCGCACGATCCTGCCCGTGAGCAATCTCCCAACTCATCTCTGTATGTACATACTCCGAAAGTTTACGCTTCATAAATATAGAATTTATCGCCCATATTAATTTATAGTAAAGTAACGCGAAATCTACTCGTCGCTTTTTTTTTTTTCATCCGTTTGTGTATATATTGGAACATAAAAGCGCCGGATGAAGTCAATTAGTTTTTCATATAGATTACACAGTTTCCATTGTTACCAAATATATACATATCACAATGATAGAACTAGGGATTTAGTGTACATACATACCAAAATACTAGGCACGTCGCATCCGAACAGTCGCCCTTTAATATTCCTTCAACTAAGACAACTGAATTTGTTATAACGAATCACATAAACTTTCAAATGATTACATTCGACATTACCATGGAGTTAAGTATCCAATTAAGTTGGCATTATAATGTTATTACGGTTATGAATTGATCATTTTGTATAATGGAATTACACGGAACGTGTGCAAAACAATTAATGGAATCATCTGAACATAAATATTTCCGCGCATAAATGTATTGCGTTGGGATTTATTAGAACGAACCAACAGTTGGCTTAGGAAAAGTAATACGTTTGGGAAAGCCTCACGTAATTGTTCAGATAACTTGAAAGCATGTTAGTTTGCACATCACAGTTTGTGATCACGCATTTGTGGATTACAGGGACGGACGATTCTTTGCTCCGATGTTTGAAGAGTTTGTGATCGTTGCATTATCGGATTCGCTACTCTGGTAGTAGTAAATGGTTAGAAGAATCAACGAGAAAAATTCTGCATGCGAACACTAAACCCTTTTGGACTGTTGCCCTTTGAAAACGTATGAAAGGGATCATAAGTTTATTCCTTAAGACTTGGGTAAGTTATTCCCGATATTCCCCTTTCTGATCATTCAATTTCTCCACAAGGTCAAAAATAGAACCATCATCCGAAAGATCATTGTTCAGGTCCACACTTCCGCTTGCTTCAGGGAGCTGGAAATGGGAAATGGTTTACACCTAATTTACAGGCACGGGAAATAAATAAAGAACGGCAAAATCGTTGCAGATTTGGGAACCAGTAAATCCGAGGAAAAATTCGAAATCAAGTATAATAAAACGCACCTCTTTTTCGAAACGTTCAACCAGACTTTCCGCATCTTCGTCGCAAACGAACCGAATGTTGCAATCAGTGCCGTCGGTGATCAACGCATGGCCCTTCGTTCTTTCTTCCTCTGGTCCAGGGATTCTCTGCCCGAGACGATCTCGGAACGGTTTGCGAGACCTGCTCTCTCGTTCCTTTTTATGCGATCCTTTGATCGAGACGGATTGCAACGACTTGAGATAACTCTTGGTCTCGAGTCGATTCGGTGGAGTGGCGGCACCCCCTCCGAGGCACGTGGACCCGGACTCGTCGTTTTCTCGAACGCTCCGAGATTTCGGATCGTTGCAATCGATTCCTCGAGGCTCGGTCGGGGGGGCGTTTCCATCCTCCCCCGTGAACGCCGTGCTCGCCTTCCGATCTTCTCGGGTCTTGCGTTTCCCTTTCTTGTGCGATCGTTTGATCGATTCGACATTTGAGGTGAGCTCCGTCACCGTCCTCGTCTCGGGAGTCGTCCGTCCACTCGGATCTCGAGGTGACACCGATCTTCTCTTCTTAAGGGGCGTTGACGTCTCCGGGACATCTCGGTCGTTGGTCCCCTCAACCGCGACGGGACGTTCGACCGAGTCCGACAATCGGTAGGCGGACACATTCCTCCTCTTCTGCGCCGCTTCGTCCCCCGACGAGCTCGTTGCGGGATGAGCGAGAACTTCTACGGTGGGCAATGCCGTGTCGCGGACCAATTCACCGTCCCATTCTTTCTCACGATTGCGAAGACTTTGACGTCTGATAAATCCGGACAGTATTTTTCGATGTTTGTTCTTTCTGTGGGACTTCTTTACCGAGCTGTACCGAGGGAGCAAAAGCCTGCTGGAATTGACATGTTCCGGAGTGAGAGACCGCTCGTGTCCCGGTTCGAAATCATCCGCTGAAAGGTCGATAGAGCGCTCGAGTTTTGTCTCGCGCTTCGACTTCTCTGGAGTCTCCTTCCCGTTGGTAAGGTTGCTCTTCGTTTCGTCTTGAAGGTCAAATATTGAACTCGTGTCAGACGAGTCATCGATATTCCGAGAGAAAGATTTCTTCTTGATTTTGTTTTGCTTGGGGGATTTCTTGATTGAATCCATGCTGTAACATGGACTCGGACTGGGTTTGTTCATGGGAGGTGTCAAAAACCACTTGGTCGCTTCGTTCTCTGTAAAACGTCTTTTCTCGTTTGATCGCATCACACATTCTCTCTCGTCAAACTTCTCCAACCGGCGGGACGATCTCTCCTGGAATCAAAAACGTCCTTATAATCTACACATTCGTCCTACAATAACTGGATAATTAGATAAAACGATCATTCCTCTTTTTAAACATGATAAATGCGTAGTCGATACCTTCTTATGACTCTTCTTAATGGCACTTAAATTTTCGGGAACAGGTTGACCAACGTTTTCTGGTGTACGAGGTCTTTCGTTCTCGTCCTCGTTAAAATCATCAAATAAATTTCTAGGTGTTCTTTTAGTTACATTCACTTCAATCTTGCTCATCTTTTCACCTTTTCTTATTGACTGTACATTAGGAATTACACCAAATTGATTTCCTCCACCATGATTATCGGGAATAGGTTTATCGTGCTTGGTGGACACGTTTTCATTAGAATTGAGGTGATTTAGGATCCTTATTGTTCGTTCGTTACGCCTCAAAGGAGTTTGATTTTGGTTTTCATCAAATGAATTAAGCGAAGATCCTGATAAACTGTCAACATTAGATTCCCCGTAACTGATGTTAAAATTCAAGATTTTATCAAATTTGTCACATTGATTTGGGCGATTATTTTCGGTATAACAAGGACTCCCAAATGAGCTGAGACTCTTTGCTGGGCTTGAATCCAAGGTAGACAATTTATTCTCCTTCCTTGCCAGCCCACAAGGTGATGCTTCGTCTAAATTTAGTGCTCTCATTATCTTTGCCGATCTCGACAAATTTTTATCTCCAATAGGGGAGCTACAGCTAAACATCGAATGTGGTGATTTCAAAAGATGCCCGTCAAAATTTAAAGATCTATTTGTTTGGTGAAATACAAGGCTTCGATTCCTTCTTGGCATTGATTTATTTAGCACCAGTGGCGAGGAATATTGACCTAATGTAAAATACTTCATTTCTTCCTGGGGACTACGTTTGTCAATAAGATTTCTGTCACCTTCCACGTCATAGAAGCTGAGTTCTTTTTTACATTGAGTGAGATCAACTTTCTCCTCCAGAGTGTGATCGTCAAACATTATATTGGTTAACCTTTTTGTTACGGTCACAACAAGACACAATGTCTAAAGCATGAGATCTCGATAATATTTATATGGGCATGGCACTATCCACTGTCCATAACACAGTATTGAATAAACCTGAAATTAAACAAATGATCGATTAATGCATGTCCGTACCAAGGGCAGGTAGAATCATAGAAATTGAGACAATTATTTAGTAGGTTCAGGTTGAAAGTTTTTTGCAAAAAGATTTCACATTGGCGTTTTAATTATAAAATCAGTGTGTAATAAATTAATGCAAATAATATGGCCCATAATTTGACAGGAAGACAAAGAACGGGATTGACGCACGGGAAAGAATTGAGGATACGAAAGAAAATAAAATTTGAAGATCTCAGATAACGCCCTAAGGGATGACGAATTGATACAGGCATTATTGGTCTTCACGCGTTAGGATTTCTTTCAGAGGAACGTTTTCCTCTGTCGACTAACCTTTTACCCTACTTGATCTGAAGCATGAACGATGCTGAGGAGATTCGGACGAAAGTCCTTATCGAATCGAGAAGCCACTGCATTTAAAATAGGAAACACTACGCGTACTAGTCGTCAAAATAATGTACGTATGCATGTGCAACCCGATGACGAACGTTGAAGTAATAAAGCAGCGACAGGTCGAGTCCGGTCGAGTCAATCCGGTTTTGACTCGCTTTTCCGTCGCTTCCGCCGAACCTACTAGAGCCAACGCAGCGACGCGCTTGCGCGCGCACGTACCCCACCCTCACAATTAAACAGGACCAGAAAACTATCCGAAGGCATTTCAATCGTAGACAATTAATTTCAATTATTCAAAGCAGTTATCAACAGCTTTGCGCCGATTGTGAATCCTTATTATTGACGAAACCGTCAAATTTTCGACACGCTCAAAATGCCACCGGCTACACGATGGTTATGTTTACAGTAGGGATGTTCGATTCCGATTCGATTCTTTAAAAAATCGATTCTTTTGGTGAAAGAATCGATTTTTAGAATCGATTCTTTACTATTCGATTTTCTTGAGAATCGATTCTTTACCCTTAGAATCGAGAAACTTATCCTCTTTGATTGAAACGGTAGAAGGGAGAAATTCGCTTCGCTCATTGGTTGCTGTTTGTCGTCACGACAAGATTGGCTCCTGAAACTCAGCGTCGTGACGCCATTCCGTTGTAACTGACTACTTGACTTTCAACAGCCAATCAGAACGTCTCATTTATGCCGTCGACCATCTCGGCCGAAAATATCGGCCAAAGGGAAAACTAGAGAAGACGTATAACTGTTATATAAACGGCTGATAATTGTTTAGTTTTTTTATACAACATTCATTTCATTTTCATAGATACCTTTCGACGCGTCAAATGTATTAATTAACACGTTGAATGCCGTGGGGATCACCGGTGACCGGCAACCACCTTGCGATAGTACACTCGTAATTTGTTTTGGCATTCAACGTGTTAAATTTGTGTTAATTATATATAAAAAAATTTCCGATTTTTTAATCGATTCTTTGGACTCCGATTTTTAAGAGAATTGATTCTTCATGATCCGATTCAGAATCGATTTAAGAATCGATTCTTCTAAGAGAATCGACATCCCTAGTATGCAGAAATGGACTCGCGCGCGCACATGAACGTAATGAACGAGATGAATGTGAAACTATGTGCAACTTCCTGGCACTTACCTGTAGTGTTTTTCCTCAGCCCACTTCAGACGACGTGAAAGACTGCACAAAGGACTGCACCGGATTGTCCATTGAATAGTCAGCGTGAAGACGCACGATTTGCGAAACTAAATCCAGTTTCTGTTGAGGATTGCGATTTACCATTTCTTCTTTAATCAACTAAAAAAAAAATTCGCGTCACTTTGCGTGTACTCGAAAAATCGCTCAATCGTGGCTAACAGAGAATAGAAGAAAGTGCCCCTTACCAAGCTCATCTCTGGTAGTAGAGAGTGGTTTGTCACTGAACTGTAATTATAGTACAATGAATGTGTCACTTTACTCGACACGCTGACTCTTCAGGCCACAATTAGATCGATATACAGCAAACAGATATATAAACAAAGGATTTTATTGCCGAAAGCGGTCAGTGGCAAGCATTACTGTTTTCTCCCATTATTGGTTAATGATCAACTATGGCAGATTCTGCTGGTAACTGGTGTCTTATTGAGAGTGATCCGGGTGTTTTCACAGAATTGATTAAAGAATTTGGTTCGTATTCTATCTTTGGAGATCAAAATCCAATATCATGATTGACTTTAGACTTTAATTAATTTTTTGTATGACTTAAATGTCAGCATGCAAACTAATTTGGTATTATCTTATTTTTTATCATCTTACCAGGTGTCGAAGGCGCACAAGTTGAGGAATTATGGAGTTTCGATGATGAGCAGTTTGACAACCTTAAGTAAGTTGTTTCATGTAGGCCTATGCCAAAGCGCGATCGATGTGACATCATTGTACTCATAACTTTAAGATCTTTATAGTACAGATTTTTATTTCATGCTTGTTAACAATTTTTTCCATAGACCAATTCATGGGTTAATTTTCTTATTCAAATGGGTCCAAGATGACGAACCATCAGGAACCATCGTGCAGGATAGTAGATTAGATAAAATTTTCTTTGCAAGACAGGTAATCGAAATACCCTGATGCTTAATTGCTTCAACATGTTTTTTTACTAACTTCCCTAAATTCTCCTTTAGGTAATAAATAATGCTTGTGCCACTCAAGCTATTTTGAGCGTACTCTTAAATTGTAAACACCCTGATGTATCATTGGGTTTAAATTTAGAAGAATTTAAAAATTTTTGCCAAAGTTTTGATGCTAATATGAGAGGCCTTGCTCTTAGTAATTCTGATGTGATAAGAGAAGTTCATAATTCATTTTCAAGGTATGTGTAGCTAATATCGTGATATCATATGACATACGATATGGAGATAATATTTAGATAATCACAATATCTTTACATTCACAGACAAACATTGTTTGAATATGATTCAAAACATGCATCTAAAGACGACGATGTATTTCACTTCGTGAGTTATTTGCCAATAGATGGCCGATTATATGAGTTGGATGGCTTAAAGGATGGTCCAATGGATTTGGGCCCATGTCCTCCTGGTGATCAATGGGTACAAGCAGCAAAACCCATTATTCAGAAACGAATTAATAAGTAAGCTTTGTTAAGTGAATTATTTTCTTCATTACTTCATTCGTTACCCCATATGTACTGAATATTTATTAGGTACAATGAAGGTGAAATCCATTTCAATTTAATGGCAATAGTGTCGGACAGAAAGATGCTGTACGAAAGACAGAGAGCAATGGTTTGTGATCCAACGGAAGTAACTCGACTGCAGGCCCTCATTGATGAAGAAATCAGAAAATCAAAGCGATATCAAATAGAAAATATTAGAAGAAAGCATAATTACCTTCCGTTGATTATGGAATTACTCAAAATGCTTGCTAAGGAAGGAAAACTAGTGTCATTATATCAGAGAGCTAAGGAAAGAGCAATTGAGAAAGAGTCTAAAAAAAATAAAATGCAAAACAATTAATTTCGTTTCCCACGTGAAAGAAAGCATGATTTAATTACAAGTCACGGACATTTAAGGCTTTTAAAAATTGAATATTAACAGTTTATATACTGAGATGCTTTTCTTTCTCTCAAGTTTTCTAATGAAATAAATATCATTGTTTTCACACTGGATCTTAAGTACTTTTGTTTAATCCTATATGTGAACTTGATATTCAAAATTTTACCATGGAAGGAAAAAAAGTATGTGATACATTGGTTAATACTAAGTAGGTTTACCTTTTGCAGTGTACATCGTCACAGAGGAATTTTTGATAGGGTTCCAACGTTAGGACCATAGATCCTCCGTAATAGAAGACATTAGCAGTTGAAGTCTCTTCTAGTATCAGTGGTATCGCTGAGGAACGTGACTTTACCATTTTTTAAAGAAATTCGTGGTAAATATTTGTCTCGTGGGGAATTTATTATTTGTGGAATTTTCTTTTCATGTAAATAATCAAAAACATCTGAAATTTATATGAAAATGAATCCTACATGTAATGTTTGCTAAATAAATACTGAATAAAATATTTACACCTTACCACAATCATGTATTGAAATGATCTCTGAATTTAAAGTTTGAAGAAGAGAATTAAATACGTAGGAAAGAAACGTAGAGGTCATTCCATTGAAATGTCTTTTGACAGTAGTCCATGATACATCTCTTAAACTTGAGGCCCCTGTAGCGTAAAAGCTATCAAAAGGAATATATCAACTGAACACCGTTCAATTTAAAATTTACATACAAGTACTTACTACTCAATTAATTTTATCTTGATATCATTCAAGTAAATGGGTTCATTACAAAATAGTTGCATATGTAACTGAGTTAACCAGAATTTCTTTAAACAATGCCAATCAATGTTCATTTTATTCTCCATTTTTTCCCAAATAACCTTTGGGATTACAGCATTTTTTAAGTATTGTATGTCCTCATTTAAGGTGTATTTGAGTAAATATTTAATGAACTTTTCAATCATTGGTAAAGTCCAATGAATCCTTGAAGACACTGTAATTATAAAATTTAAGAAAGTAAATAAATGTTTAAAGAATGAACATGGACAGGAAGTCAGTTAAGGCAATGTCATAACCATTTCTATTTGATGCTTGTGAATTGTCAAGACCATAAATCCTTTTCAATATCTGATACCTTCGCCAAATTGAATTTCTCCCTCTATGTAACAACACGGCTAATTCAGAGAACTTCTCGTGTTGTCTGTTACAGCTTGGTGAGTTATTACGCATGTGTGCCAAGATTGTTTTGTCCTCTTCCTTACTGTACCTACAGTGCAGGAATAATATAACTGAATCATAAATCATTTATGAGCATATTATAATTTTATTTAATGTTTGATTTTATATTTCACCTTTTCCGAACCTTCCCGTCATACAATTTCCTAAATCTTTGATATACACTGTACAAAGTTCGCGAAGGCAATCCATTTGCTAAGAACTGCACAAACTTAAGCCTTTCCTCTAAACTGCATATGTAAATTTTTCTATTATGTCTCATGTACAAAAATGGCTTGACATCTTTCACATCCCAGTTATATTGCTTTGAAGAGATATTAAAAATATAAAATCATTTTTTGTACCTTTGTCTAACAGAGAATATACATTCATTTACAACACATTAGAAGTAAGATGCAAAGGATGTATCACCTTGCAAAAATCTTCCCAGTTTTTAATGATAATTTTATCTTCAGATGAAGTATACATGCCCCTTTTAATTGGTACATATTGTTCAAATAATTCTTTTTGCTTCCGAGTGGGTTGCCTGGATCCTGCATGATTTTCAATCTTATGTTGCTGTGGTACTGCATGATTAAATGTTATCCTTAATCCTTTCAGCTTCTACATATTACATATCCTCATATATGAAAACGCACTTTTAGATATTTACATTAATAAGAGCATTAACTACATTCAGATACCCTCGTGTACTTGATTATCTACTTACTTTCAGTGTTTTTGCTGGCAGTTCTTCCCTTTTCTTGACTTTTTCCAATTCGTTCAAAATATTTTTAGCTCTTACAGTTACACTAGGTTCTTTCTTATCCTTCTCCAATCGACGCCTTTTTAATTTCCCCGTGACATCCGAATTCTTTTCACTATCTATTTCTTTTTCTGAACATTCTCTCTTCTTTTTTGGAAATTTGTGAACTTCACTAGGATCTGCAATCTCCCTCTTCTTTTGATGAGAACTCATCATTGCGATATCTATTTTCAGATAACTTCTTTTTAAACGCCTTAAATTATCTTATAACACTTTACCATCATCCCTACAACAGAATCTTATTAGAAATTAATTCAGTATCGCTAAAGGCAATAACTTCATTAATTTGCCTCCACGATATACTACTAGGGATGTTCGATTCTGATTCGATTCTTTACTATTCGATTTTCTTGAGAATCGATTCTTTAACCTCAGACTCGAGAAACCGATCCTTCTTTATTAAAACGGTAGAGGGGAGAAATTCGCTTCGCTCATTGGTTGCTGTTTGTCGCCACAAGATTGGTTACTGAAACTCAGCGTCGTGACGCCATTCCGTCGTAACTGACTATCTGACTTTCAACAGCCAATCAGAACCTCTCATTTACTCCGTCGACCATCTCGGCCGGAAATATCGGCCAAGGGAAAGCTAAAGAAGACGTATAACTGCTATATAAACGGCTAATAATTGTTTAGTTTTTTTATACAACATTCATTTCATTTTCATGGATGGCTTTCGACGCGTAAAAATGTATTAATTAAATTTGTGTTAATNTTTGAATCGATTCTTTGGACTCCGATTTTTAAGAGAATCGATTCTTCATGATCCGATTCAGAATCGGTTTAAGAATCGATTCTTCTAAGAGAACCGAATATCCCTACCAAAGAATACAGAAGTCACCATAGAAGCCCAGTTCCCGTGTTGACGCTTGATACCCAATAAATAGTAACCAAGCGGGACGCTAGATCGCAGCATATTTTAGTTCAGCATTACCTTCTAGAATAATGCTATATTGGGTATTTTTATCATTCCACGCTTTGTTGAAACCAACTAATTTTTTACATGGGTTATAGATTTAATAAATCGTTTTACGAAAGTAAGTCCGAGTATTGCATGGATTTAGTACGCAATTCAAATATATGGTACTTGAATTCTGTGTAGCATCGATAATGAATATTTTAACAGCGAATCTTGGCACCAGCTTTGTCGATGTCTGATTTTCCAACTATATAAATAGTGCTGTAAATGTTATATTATGCTTTTATAATCAACATTATTAATACAGTGAAACAGATAGTATTATACAATAAAATAGTGCCGTTTAAAGTCGGGCATTGTTAAGCTTTTTACATATTATGTGGTATTTGACCGATTAATGGCTTTTCAGATAGACACGTACTCCTTAAGCTGCATTTCAACTTCTGGACTGAGCGTTCGTAGCAACTGATCAAACTGATTGTCTCCCATTAACAAGTGAAGAGTAGTTAGCTGAAATGTAAAGTACTTAACTTGCGCGATAACCGCAGAAGTTATATATTACAATATATGAGAAATAAAACATACCTGACTTTGAAAAGTTTCTTTCAAAGAAACATTGTGCACTGAATCATTTATGTCAAGGCGGTTTTTCCGCTGTTCATCCTCGGTTTCGTATTCCGTATCGTCGTACTGAGATGGGCTTGGTTGACCACTGAGCATTAATGAGCTGGAATGAAAGTTATAATAACGATATTCCGGTGTCTTTATCGGGATTGTAACAACTGTTAATATGGTGTGCGCGCTAAGACGAATAGAATTAAAATATAAAAACATACTCGTGTGGGCAACCCATATCGTCGATTACTGTTATATCATTTAGAGTTTCAATAATATTTAACACAATTCGTGGAAAATGTTGAAGAATACAGGATGGACTGTTTGCTCCAAGAAGAGAGCATAAAGCAAGAGCTAATAATTTACGTCGTTCTGGTTCAATCATGGCTGGCATTCGATTTAACCACATGTGAACCATTCTGTTGAGTACGACTTCTTCACTCGTATCATTTCCGTTTGCTTGTATATCCCTTGATAATTCACCAACGACCTACAATCGTTAAACGTTCTGCATGTCAAAACTTACGTTTCATTTTTTTTTTCTCAATGTACTGTACACCTAGTTATGCAAACCTGTACAAAAACATCTTTGGAACTAAGTAATACCCTAGCCATGATCGACAGATACATCAGCATAACCATAGGATGTTCTTCTCCTTCGTACACACCCCTGAAAAGTAACGTACTACATATAGAAAAAATAGAAAATATTGAACATATAGAAAAAAAACTTACTTGAATATCTTGAACAAGAGTGGCTTCATCAACTGAGGGCCTTGTTGAGACAAGGCTCTGAGACATGTTTCGAAAACTCTCATCACCATTACTATGCCTTCGGATCGTAAATCCCCTACGAGAGACCTCAACGTGTCAACTATCACTGCTCCCCATTCGCCTAGAAATTCCTGAGGACTGAGCAGTACGTATGCTTGAATTATGTACAAGCACAACCTGAGATTCTCGGTCGAGGATTCTGAAAGCAAATACAATTTGTTGGTTCGAAAAGTCTTGCCACAAGCCAAGCACTTTCGAGAATGCTTTCAAGGTGGGAAAATGCACCTAGTAGAGGAGGCATGTTTCGAAAAAGGTCCATTATGGCAGGCGTAGCCTCTGATGTATTTTCTAGAAGTACAAGCCACAACTCTAGACCATCTTCGAGGAGATAAACGTGACCGTCTCGATTCATGTCACAGCTCATGGCTATCACACTGATCACCAACGGTTTCAGAACAGCACTGTCCGAACGTAAAGCCTGTAGCATATGATAATACATTTAATTGAAATACGTAATACATGCTGCTATCGTTAACTATTGTACCAAAAAACACAATTCGAGTAAATAATGTTAGGAAGAACTAATACAAACTTTCCTTTCATTAGTAAGTTGGACGAATGTCTGTGAATGAAATAATAATCTCGACAATTAGAAAAATATTTGTATGTAAAGATGATGAAAATAAATGTCGTTTTTGAACTAAGTAATAAAGTGAGAATTTAATGAAAATAAGCACATGCCTTCTCCAATTGTACAAGGGTCGACACTATGGCACACCTCAACATGTCGTGTTCTTCAGATTGTTGCCAGAGCAAGGGTAAATATGTGCTAAGAGCGTTTACATGAGGCTTTATCCCACTGCCGACTCGTTCGACCATGAAGGAAAGCAAATATAATACGTGCATCTGAAAATTCACGTCATCATAGTCCAAGAAAGAAAAACGATATATTTTATATAAATTATTGAGATAATAACATACTTTGGTGTCGCATTTATTGACTTCCTTTAGAAGAGAGAAGAGTTGAGAAAATGCAGGTTCCAGGTATGGAGAGAAATCTTCCGTCTTAAATTCTAAATTGTCCATAGCTATTTTTAGGGCATCGCTCGCTGCCAGTCGAACTCCTAAATCTTCCTCCGGGTTGAGCGCCTCGACCATCAATTTATACAGTTCTGGTCTCAATTGTACGCTCAATTTGACTTCTACAATTCAATATATTCAGCTTTACTATAGAAATTGAATCAAGAATCGTGTTTCTAGCCTTCTGCGGTGCTTTCCATATGTCTATCTTGAAAGTACACATACCCGCCCAACGTCCTATTAGCCAACATACACGACGTCTTATAATTCTGTAATTATTACTTCGGACCTTTAATTCTTGTTTTAAAGTCGTTGAGAACCATTGATCGAAATTGACCTAATAAAAATATGTTTCCTTTAATTCTTATTCATTCTTAAACGTTCTCGTACCACTGACCAATTGTTCCAACCTGATCATATAAGTCAGAAGCGGCAAGGCCGACTGCGTTGTAAACTGCGTCTTTTAACAGTATAGCATGTAAATTATTCGGATCTACGGGCTGATAGTGATGTTGCATTAAATCAACTACAACCGAAATTAAAACATTTTTGTAATGATGGAAGATCGCGTGGAACACAGACTCCGTACACGGCTGCAACAATTAAAATATCAATATTGTTTTCTGAACAGATATCGCAAGAAAAAAGACAGTTACCCTCAGACTATATTTCCATGATTCTCCGGCATCATCGATGGCTAAACAAAATGTATTCAAAATTATCCTTGTACGGTTACGATGTCATCAATCGTAAGAATCATAATGAAGATAAATTACACATTCTAAGAATTCATCTACTTTTTCATATTACCGAAATTTTCTGGATCCGTATCCCAAAGCTCTAAATCCACCGATGTCAGTTGAAAATAGTGTGTGACTAGTCTTGAGCAAATTTCAGTCAATGTCTCAGCAGTAAAGAACTCTTCCCTCAATTGATGCGCTCTGAGAGCAAGAGTGCACCTGGTCTCTGCAAAGAATAGACGATATAGTTTAGAAAATTACATTCCATTGATTATATGACGAAACCTAACGATCGGTTAAATTCATTATTAATCGCGTAAAATGCAAGTCAGACTGTACGCGTTTAACTGTCTACATGGCGGTATCGTGTCCGGTACATCAATAATGTGTACTACCTTCTATTTTTTTGGATTGCGTATATTTGGTACACATTAGAATGCTCTTCACCAAGTTTAAGCACTGAATGATAAACCTTTCAAAGGCCAATGCTTGACCAGCTTCCGTAAAACAGTAATACACTGAAAATTCTAAGGAAGCCGGTATTAGTTCCACGTAACAAAATGGATGCATTTCTAACACGCCGACTAGGACTTTCGTCAAGTGTATGATAAATTTGTCACATGCATCCAGCTGTATGCCTCTTGTCGCCATCGTTTTTCCTAAGAACAAATCAAAATGACTGAAATAAGTTTCAAGTAATGAATAGATGGTTTTCTAATAATGCAAACATAAGAGGAAAAATACTCACGACATTCGAGGCTGTTTCTTGCACGTTCGAAGATAACCTTTAAGAATAACATAGCATCTTGAGATTTTGATGGTTCATTGAATCCATATATAATCAGTTTTCTGAGTATCCTCAGTAACAGCAGAGCTTTCTCTAAAACCTCTTGCATTTGATTGGCATTGCCTCCACTTGATGCCAAAATTAGGAAAGACTCGGTATACGTGTTCCATAAGTTTAGAATGAAGCTAAACACATTATTGGTTAATTCAATAAACAATGCTCTATCGCCTGCAAGTCTCTTAGATGCTAATGTTTTAACAACATGGTGGAGCGTTAACAAAGCTCTGTGCTGGGCCAGAGAATTTTGTCCTCCTATCGCTTCCAAAAGAGTCGGAACGAGAGTCCCCCATTCTCTGGGGCAATCTAGTCTGAAAGGTACAAATTGACAGACAATAATTTATATTGTTTTAAACATTATCTCAATACCTTAATTTTTTTTAACAAATATCTAACGACTTCAATACCTAGCAATTCTGGCAATTAAAACAGAGAGTTGTACAGCCAAGTGATTAATCGGTTCATCAAAATTAGCAATCAGCCGCTGTCGAAGGAATTCTTTCTCATCCTCCGCGATGGCACTGTAACATTGTTTTTACAAAATTATACCAAGGTGAATGCATGACGCTTTGGCAAGTGCAATAAATTATATGGAAGCCCTTACTCGGGTGCATTTTTCCTCCAATATCTATCAACGCCATTCTTGAAGTACAATATAGCCATCCATCTGACATTTACGGCTAAGGAATGATTTGTAAACACATTCTGAAACCATATTATCAATATCATGATTATAACGATACACCATACAATTCATCAGAACTCTGCTTATCGCTTTCGAAAACTTACAAATAACGCCGTATAGAATCCTCTTTGAGTCTCCCACTGTTTAAGCGTCTGTTCCGCTGGTTTCAGTACATTTGGATCTTGGCTACCAGCTTGATGAAGAACATCTATTACTGCCGCATCCATATTGTTGCACTAAACATTTAATACTGTTTAAGTGTCAAATGTTGATTTACATAAGAATTATTTAAAATTGCACGTCAAAAAATCGATTAGAAAATTAGATTGTTATAATAAAAAAAATTATTGCAATATACGTGCAACAAATATCCATACAATCCATCTGACAATGAGCAATCGTGTAATTTCATAAATTACTAATTAGTAAAGGCACAAGTTAAGAAAGTTTAACTTATTTATATGTCATTTTTCATATTATACCCATGTCTGACAGATAATAATAAAGTATTACGACCATCAAAGAAAGTTAAAACTGACCAGTAAGAAGCCATTTCAATGGAAAGATTTTGATACACATCATCCACGGAACTGCTCAGAAAAACTAATTTTATCAATTTTCTAAACAATAGCTTTTACTGTATAGTTTAATTAGATTAGATTAACATCGAATTAGGACAAAGAGCTAGACAATCCAGGAAATTTTCAACCGTAATGTATGAAAGTACAACAAATATTATAATACGATATACATCGAAGGTTATTAAAAGAGTATAAAATCAAAATCGATACGACGTGCCAAGTTCGGTACATTGTCTTCAAAATATTCATAAAACAAGAAACTTCAATCAGTACGTAGAAGTCGAAAAACGATAACAAGAAAAACAAGTCATCTAATCTAGCTAGTGACGTTCTAACCTAAATGACCGGCGAAACAGAACCAAAAAATAGCGCGTTACCTGGCTTGCTTACGGATTTCAAGAAGATCGCTTAGGGCCACTCCATTTATACTTTATTCCAATGTTTATGTAGCCAATCAATACATTATGAAATCCCTTGAAGGTTTGCAGCGGTTGCTCCTGTTCGAATTGTCAGAAGTCACAATTGGACTTAGCGGTTCCGACCAAGCTCTTCGTTCCGGATGGATTCGGTCATTCGTGTGGCGAAGTAATCGTTTCGATTCGGTTTTAACTATGTGTCGCCCCTTTACCGATCACTACTTTCGCAAACTAGAACAGACTAACGTCGGCTCGTCAGGTTAGGCTCGACCTGAGGCCAACGACGAAGAACGACAATCCGTACTTGGAGCAACCTAAGGTCGGTATTTCATTAGCGCTACACGGCAACCGACGGAGCGAGGAAGTGAGAATAAGAGATTCCGATTGGTTGCAAAGAAATGACGAAATGGAACTAGTTTCGCTGTACATACGTACTAGAGATGAGTCGGGAGATTGCTCACGGGCAGGGTGACCTCCGTGCTTTAACATATTTGAACTCCTTCTACCAACAAGTGTAGCAAGCTCAATTTCGATTAACTGCCCATGATATCTTACCAAAAATGTCTGCTTCCAGGTGATCCACCTAAACCTGCAAAGGGGCACAAAAGTACAGGTAAAACAGAACATTGAAGGAACACCTGGAAGTCGCCAGATTCTCCGAAGTGGACCACCTAAAGCTGAAAGAGAACACAAAGGCACAAACGAAACCATTGGGAAAGCGAGAAAGAGACGGTGATACAAGAGCTAATAACTTAATAAAGTTACCATTAAAGTCGAGAATATTTCGCAGTGCATAGATCTCGTATAATTGACCCAGTAAAAATCTATTCAATTATACATTATTTGGCGTGAGAAAAATCTAATATATTTATCTTACTTAAATGCGGACTCGAGAAAATTTCGTGAAAAAGATAGTTCACCGTCTCTCCTCGTAAATCCTGATAAAATACGTATAAAAATATAGGAGGGACAACGTGGCCAAATAA